TGTCTGTTAAGAAAATGTAAGCATTGTGGAAATGTGTTCACTGACTGCATATTGGGTGAACACGACATGAAATGTGTGAATGGTATGGCCACAACAGACCGATCCTTTGCTAATTGTGTTTAGAGTTTTGCAAATGTGACAACTGTTTGGACAAACGCTTGTTAGCGACTGTAAAAAACTGTAAAAAAGACAGGAATTTTTCACCAGGCCCAATCCAAAAATATCTACTATATCATAAATAAAATAATACATGACTTAGCATTACCTCATAATTAAAATAAGTATAAGTAAAAATGCTTGTTGGCCTTATTTACTACTTGAACACATTAACAGAGTTTAAAGAAATACGATACGTTTGTCTTTCCTTTGATGCACAAAGTGAAGTGCGATGGCATTTGTGAGGCACAATGTACACACTCACGCAGACAGCTGGTGAAGAATCAGCCACACACCCACAATATGGACTGAGTCATAGAAACACAGGACCCAGAGGCCATTTTCACTTCTGCGTTTGTTTCTTCTCTGTCTTATCATGTTCAACAACTTGGACACAACTCCACTAACTGTCACTTCTATCAAGCCTGAGCCTAATCAGCTGCTGCTCCTATGATGAGATAACAAACTACTTAAAAATGATGACACATTCTTCGCGGATTTTCTTGATATAGTTTACTGGTGTCCTTCAACAGCTGTTCTAATTCAGTACTTGAAACTTCACTTAATTTGCTTATTTGAATTTCTGTCTTGAACACAGTCCCAGGTTAAGACCTAATGAAAACAAGCTTCCCAAACAGAGCCTCCTTGTATTGGACCTAAACCAGAAAGTAAAAGCTGAATGCAAATGTAAGGCTTTTAGATTGGAGTGGCATCAGAGAAAAATCAATGGAGGTCATTTGAATTCAAACTAAGGCACCTTCATGACTGAAAAGTTTGGGGTGGGCCTATGCAATCTTTGGCAAAATGTTCCATAAATGAAAAAGAAAAAAAAAAGACTATGAAAAGATGCAAATCCATCAAAATAATCATAAAGTCCTGCACAGTAATCACAAGGAGATGAAATATCAAGATAGGGAGGAAAATTGACTGCCACTTGCTTCATAATCATTCTAATCACCAATAAACTTGCCCATTTCTGCCCTTCGGCCAATGAAGGCAGGAAATAACCCTAAACTACTGTAATGTAGACAGTGAATATGCTGAGGAAAATTCCAAAAATTGTACAAATGTGTAATTCTGAGAAACTGGCTTTTCCTGAAGGTGGAGCAAGAGGAGAGCTCAAATCAATCAATGACCTCAGCAAAGTCTGATGGTTTTATGTTTACAGTTTAGTGTTCAGTGTACATATTTTGTCTGATTAAGGTCAGCTAGAGGATGGTAGTGGGTTGCAACAAAAAAAAAAAGAAAAAAGAGGAAAATATTTAAATACTTTGCTTTGAAAGTTTGAACCTTTGGTGGTGGTGCTAGTGAAAGATAATGAGAATCATCTGAACTCAACTCCAGTTACATTTGCCTATAGGAGCAATTTTCCATTTTCTTTCACTCTTGACTTTGGAAATGATCAGCTGTAATAAACACTTGATGACACTTCATCAGAGTATGAGGTTGTATTTTATGATCAATACACACACATAGATGGCAACAATAACAACATCAAAGGCATCCACTTTTACTTCAAACTTTTTTATTACAAAATATAAATGGCAAAAAGCTTTGTTTTTTTTCATTTGCTAAAACAAAGACTGGTGTCAGACATGAATGTTACAGTAAAATTAAGCATTTTTTTTTCCTTTTTCTTTTTTTTTTTGTAGGTTACCATGCTACAGTAGATACAGTACAGGTGATAGTGCTCCCGCTCAAAGAAAAATGACAGAAAGGGGGAAATTAATGTAAAAGGTAATAACCATCTGTCTATTGAGCTTGATCAAGAGACAAAGTGATGATATACAAGCGAGTTGGGCCGACAGAAAAAAGTTTGAAAATGTGTCCTCTGGTTCTCAACAGTGACAGAAATGTAACTTTGGGCAAGCAGATACAATTTCTACAACTCTGTACAAACATGTAGTTTGCTTAAACTAATCTAAATGAATCTGAATGTGCATTTGTATTACTTTATACTTAACTAAATATGAATAAATACATATTTTTAACATTTGTGGCTGCTGGCAACCATAAACTCTTTCTTTTAATCTGTCACATCTACAGCATTCAAAGGTCAAACTAAAGCACTTCTCAGTGGGTTCATAGATTTCCAGGTCAGCTTAGTCGTTCTGAAAACATTAAGCTTACAACACATACACACAAACTGCTTAAACAACTTATTTTAGACATCAATTCATAAAGAAGTGTTGATTTCCAAGTCAAACCACATCCAATACTTCAAATAGTGAAAACGACTTGATATCCAAGGGTTTTCCCTTTTTGCCACGAGTCCACCACAAGTCCAGAGATTAAGAGGATTGTGTGTGTTTGAGATGAGCGGGGTTCTGAGAGGTCCTTTTCCATATCTTCCAACAATGTCTTTAAATAACATTTAAAACATTTTACATTTTAATGACAGCTGCTGTGATGCGTAAAATGGCACCAAATGTGCGTAAAATGATGTGGAGAGGAAGGCAGGCGCACGAACAGAAACTAATGTCAGAGGTCTGGAATATTGATACAGCTTCTGGGCTCTGTTAAGGAGGCATTTTCAAAAAGAAGCAGAGATTTACTTCCCCACCTCGTCGAGCACTTTGCGGTTGAGCTGAGCCTGCTCTCTCTGGCTCTCCATCTTGGCCATCTGGATCATATTCCTCAGCAGGTGGAAGGTCAGGTCGATGGAGAGCGGCGGCTCTTCGCTGCGTTTCAGCAGCTGCGCCGCGGTCCTCATAGCCGCTTCCTCCGCCTCCTCGCTGTCTTCTTCTGGCGGGAGCAGGTGGAGACGATCCGGGTTCCTCCTCTGGAGAATCCTCATGATGTTTTCGCCCAGTAGATCGGAGGCGGCGTTGTCCCCGGCGGCAGCCGCTCTGAGGAGCACCTCGTCCAGTTGCTGCGTTTGAAGGCGACCGCTGCCATTCATCCAGCCAGGGAAGGTGCGCGGTCTGCCGGCGGCTGGACGGAGGTGTGATGACAGGAGGACCGAGGAGAGCAGCAGGAGAAGGGAGACTGGCTTCATGTCCTGCAAGCAAATGAAACATTTAAGATGACATTCAGGTTTAAAAGTACGTTTCATAGTGTATCTTGGAAATGTTGTGTTTTATTTACATTCTCTCTGAGCTAAGCGTGACATTCATACACTTTTAAAACTTTAAAGTTTGGTTTGGGTCGTGATTCGGCAGATGTAAAGTCTCGTGTTCGCTCCAAAGGCAAAATAAATGTTATCTGTCAATCTGATGGAAAACCTAAATCTTCTAGAACATTTACTTGAACTGGAATTAAAATTACAAAAGAATATTTAATGGCAACATTTTCTTTTGTAGCCAAAGATTGTTCAAGCTAAAGCGCATAAGATGACGAGCACCTCACTGCGCGGTTATTAAAAAGTTTAAATGATGAACAAAACTTTAGACTGAATGAAAGAACTACTGTTCTTACTTTACTGTCTCCAGATGCTGCAGCTGGACTTTGCGGTCGGCCGGTGAGATTCAGCAGAGTCTGAAAAAGTCCCTGTGAGCGGAGACTAGAGGGGACCGGAGGGTTTTATACGTCCTGCCCGCTCCTTTGACGTCAATGTGAGCACAGATAGCGCATTGGAAACCGGACAACTATCGAGACGCAAAGCACAGAAGTCCCGAGGGACAGCTGGGGAAGCTGTGATGGACGGCGAATAAAGGACGTGATTTTTTTTTTACAGCTTCATTTCTTTTTCATCCTTGGTGGGTCATCAAGTTTGATGAGGTAAACTCACAGGGGTACAGGAGGAAGGTGCCAATAGGTGTGGGATTTCTGGGGCGATTCAGGAACCTGCCCAACTTTTTATTCTTATATTATCAGAATTATTTTGTTCTGGTTGTGCGTGATTATGTTTTTTCTTTGCAACCCGCACTGCCTTAAATTCACTCTTAAATATGAATAATCTGAATAATAATAATATGAATCAAAATCTGTGAAGAGCCTGTCTCCCTGCACTGCATTGCTAAAGGTCTATTTCACTTTCAGAAGTTCAAATGAAAGAATTAGAGGTGAATTAGAGGCAGAAACTAAGCGCTGAAGTGATGCAAGAAGATGTAAAGGACAATAAATCAGCATTAATTCAGCTCACATGCACCTGCCTGAAGTTAAAACTTTGCTTTAGAGCACAGCCTGGTGAAAAATAAAGTATTGCTTTGGCCAAATGAGACAAAGAAATGACTTTTAAAGATTAAATAGAAGCTGTGAACATGAAAAACGTCTTTAAAGTCGGACTGAATGGGTGAGGGAGCTGTCTATGGTGCTGAACCTTCACGGGATTATTAGTAAAAGCTCACTTTTTATACCAGTCAAACCAGAATATAAAGAAATCCATAGTACATGTTATTTACTCCGAGTGAGTCACAGAGCTGCATAGTTAAATATTATGAATCACGTAAATAGGGGACAAAAGTAAATAAGGCCAAACACAAGTTTACATCCTCAAGTTCAACTTTTCCTTTTACAGACCTGAAACATTTCCCAGACTCACACTTAGCTTTTCTTAATACACTGCACATTACATAAAGGTGGTCTGGCATAATCACAACAAAGTTTTCTTCTTTTAAAACACTTCAAATACTTGGGGTTGTTAGCTCTGTGTGCACTTGCTGTTCCCTTCTTTTTTAAAGAGGGAGATTATTTCTAAAGGAGCAGCAATTGTATTTCCTGTATTTGCATTTCCTCTGATTCATTAAACAACTCAGTTGTTTGACTCAATTCACTGTGAGCTAAACAAACCGACTTCTATGGTGTTAAATCATGATAGTAGATGAAATTAAAGAAGAAACTTAAAGAAGTCTAGTTTCTTTTCTTTCTTTCCTTAGATTACCTATAACATGCACAGACAGAGATGAAATGTACTCCCTAAATGTTATCTTTGGGTTCTACAAATTTAGACAATAAGTTATAATATGGGAATCAAAAGAGCATTTTTGTGCTTTGACACACAACAATGCCTGCTAGCAACAGCCTGTAGAACAGTTTGATAAATAAATTTGTAAATATCATCTTTCATATGAAACTATGTTGCTGTTTTCACTTTTTCTTCAGGACAAACATGAAAATGAGGAGAAAACGACTTCTTTCAAACACTTTGAGGTCACAAATTATGTAAATCCACACAAATTATGAGCCAACATCAGTAACTTCAAATTACAGATCAGATCTCATTTTGATCACAGATGTCAGCCCCATCACACACTGTTTTCAGGTTGTGCTGCTAAAAAGCCTACACACTGTATCTTCGTTTAATTACTGGGCCTTAATTCTCAAACACAGCGAGCCTGGGAGATGAATTAAAAAAATGAAATCCAGCTTTCTGGGGAGAGGCTCATTTCCCTCAGGCAGGCGGTGGGGATATTTGGCAGATTTTCAATCGATTCGTCAGACGTTTTCCGCTTGTTTTTCCCTGATATGGACCATGAGTGTGTGCGTTTGTGTGTGTGTGGGGGGGGAACAAAAAAAAAAGAAAATTTGTGCAGTTAATTTGGTTGGCAGCCCAGCTCAGCAGCCTCCACATCTCCCTCCAAACAAACAAACCCCACCCCATCCAAAGCAAAGTTAGCGAGGTCAAACACACCACAGACTCATAAACTCAACTCGTGTAAAACTTTATTAGCTCTTACACCAGACGTGACCTTTAATTATCAAAAATGTGCCCATTATGGATAAAGCGATTCTTCATATCCTGAAAAAGGGGAACGCAGCACTGACATGATCCTGGGTTATGTTGCGGATTAGTGGTGACTCTTCAGCAGCTACAGCACAAATGTGACGCTGACTGTTAAAGGAACAGTTTGACGTCTGAGTAAATATGACTGTCCTCGCACAGAGAAGACTGATCTCACTCGTGCTTTTATGACACGTTATGTTAGTGTTGCATTAATGTATTTGCACTTGCATTCTGTCCTTACTGAACACTCAGAATGCTTTAGACTAGAGGAAACAAACTCCCGTTTATACAATGGTTTATTCTGTTCACTTTATTTTAAATGCTTTCTTGGGGTGAGGCAGCAGCAGTGTGAACCACTGGACCACAGTGATAACCAACCCAATAAAAGACTGGAAACAGGAGTAAACAGCTGCCTTGCTAACAACCACGATTTTAAAGCAAGTATGTAAATCTGAGTATAAATGTCTGACAACAACTGTCCAGTTGACCGTTTTCTGTTTCCAGCCTTTAAAATAGGATAAGCTTGGTGGTTGCAGACACCAGAGACGTATTGAGCTTGTATCATTCAACTCTCTGCAAACTATTCCTTTAACATTATGTTAAATAAGATAAGGAACAAGGCTCTTTCTTTACATAGCCATGATGTTAGATTAGGTACTTTAACCACAGGAACCTCGACCAACAAAATGAACTCAAAGCAGATAAGAGTTGGTGTAATGTGAGTGAAGACAAACTGTGGCATCTTGTCCATTTATATCAGCTTTTTCCTGAGATCTGTCAAATTTAGAAGAAAAGTAGAGACAGCTGACACAACCTCACCTGCTTGCAAACTTCACAGAGGAAAGGAGACAGTCTGAAGATGTCAAATCTGCTGCAACACTTCTCGAATGTAGAAAAACGTCACTACTCTGATTTTTTTTAAAAGAAAGAAAAAGGCCCCAAGCCAAATGAATTTAACCCAGTAATGCAGCTTTGTAAATGCTGCAGGAGGTTTGACCTCTTCATCTGTCAAATTAAGGGAAAATGAAGTAAAAGATGAGGCAGGTTTAGACAAAGCAAAAAAACACAACTATGTAAACTAAAATCACATTATTAGAAACTCTGGAATGCACTTAAAATATGTGACTAGAAGTCCATTATAGAAAAAAACCAACACATTACAAAAACAATGATGTCAATACACTAAAGAGATTAGAAAAGTTTCCTTTGTGAGCAATAGGTGTTAATGTATGAGTGTGTATGTGTGGATACACTGCAGCACCACCGCCAAATCCCATTTCCATAAATAAGAAACTTTCACAGACATTTCTGCAAATGCAAGTTTGACTTTCATGTGTGAATTTGTCACTCGGAGTAGACGAGCCGTTTCTCCCGACCTTTACGCGTGACTCAGTCACAGCTTTACACATTGGAAATACCAGCAGACTAAGTAGCCTAAAGTAAGTTACGCCCATGTCACACACACTACGAATGAGTGCAAAATAATCATCAGCGAGAACGACACAGGCTGGACTTGTGAGCGTCCTTCACATCTTATTGGCCTTCCAGGTCAGGTAGGAGTTCCAAGCAACAGCAACGACCTGGACGACAGCCAGCCTGCAAGGAGGACGAAATCTGATGTGTCTGGTTTGGATGCAAGTCGGAGAGTTTCATAAAGACGGAAATAAAGGCTTTCTGAGACAATTAAAGTTGGTTTCATGTGACATTTTCACAAGTGAAACAAATGATGTCTTATTTAGACGCAGAAGTAGTAAAACTACAACTTCAAAACATGTTTTCAGGTTTAAAAGAATCCACTAAGATCAGACAGAGTATGTATCCTAAAAGTGCAGAAATGACTGTGTTAAAGCAGTCGAAATGTAAAAATAAAACCCTTAAGATTTGACTCTGTACACAACCTTCTTCTGCTCTCACTAACCTTCAAATATGATCAGAGCTCACTGCCTGCATGCTAATGAAGCCATCAAACTCTCACCTGTGGTGCAGAGGGATGAAGTAGAAGTTGGCAATCTGGACTGGAGGCCAAAGCTGAAACAACCAGGAAACATTCAACTGATCAGCGAAACATATTCTGAAGAGATAAAAAAAAGAGAGATTACACTGAACACTTACATAGTAATTAGAGATCAGGGCATCTGTGTAGTCCTGTGAACACAGAAAGAGAAATATTATCATGTCGGTACCATCTGAAATTACTTTAATGAAAAACATTCATGCTAAACTCAATTTATTACGAAAACAATAGAAAGGAAATGGTTATTTTGCTGCTTTCTTTTTCAGGTTCTCGTATCGTCTTCTGTTATAATCAGAGCATCACGCTCCTCTCCACTCCTCTAAAACCCCAAATAAACAAACATGGTCCTGACAAAAGTTCAACACGAGGTTTCAAATGTGAAGTTATTGTGTTACAGTTTTTTACAGTCGCTAACAAGCGTTTGTCCAAACAGTTGTCACATTTGCAAAACTCTAAACACAATTAGCA